CACATCTGACGCCGTTTCCCATTTTGTTTGGTGCAGTTTCGTGGATAGTTTAATGCCTAAAAGAATCTTTGAACCTGTCAGTATCCATCTAGTTTGTCATCTACTTCAAACCAGCTTGTGTTTTGCCAGATTTGCATACAATCTTGATTGTTCTTCCTCTTATTTGCAATTTTTCATAACTTTAGAGGGAGAAAGAGAGAGAAAAAAACTGCTACTGAAACCTCAAAAGATTGCATCAGATTTGTTTTGGAGCTCAGTTGATCTCAAAGGTGACATCTTTTCACTTCTCCAATCAATTCTGTTTCTGGGTTTTCATTAAATTTCTGTTTCTGATTGATCAGTAGAGTTCCTGTGTAAAACCCAGATTTTTTTGGTCCCAATTGAGCTCAAGAAACCCTAATTTCTTGGGTTCCTCAATAAATTTCCCAACTTTTGGATGATGGGTTGTTTTAAATTTGATCTGTTCATTTGGGTTTTATCCCCATTGTGTTTGGGATTGTTGTGTAGTGGATTTGTTCCTGCTGACAATTACCTTATAGACTGTGGATCACTTGCCAATACTACAGTGGGTAACCGTGTTTTTCTAGCTGATAACTTGGCGTCCAAATATCTTTCATCCCCAAAAGACGTTGTTGCCAATGTTTCTTTGAAATCAATCACTTCCTTTGATGATTCACCGCTGTATCAGACAGCGCGAATCTTCCCGGAATCCTCTAAGTACACCTTTTCCATAAGCCATAGCGGTAGGCATTGGATCCGCCTTTACTTCTATCCGTTTGTTTTTGGTAGTTATGATCTGAGCAAGGCGAAGTTCTCCATTTCCGCCCAAAACTTTGCCCTCCTTACTGATTTCAGTGTTCAAAACACTTCTCTTAAAGAATTTTCGGTGAACGTGACTTCAGATAGCCTTGTTATCACCTTCACCCCTTCCAGCAACTCGTTTGCATTCCTAAATGCTATAGAAGTTGTTTCAGTCCCTGACCAACTCATCACTGATGATGCCAGCTCTGGGTCAGAGAAATTCCAGGGTTTGACGAATCAGGCTCTGGAGACAGCTTGGAGGGTGAATATGGGTGGACCAAGAGTGTCTTTTGAGAATGATACCCTGTGGCGTACTTGGGTTCCTGACCAAAGTTTTCTAGTAAATGAGAACCTTGCAAAAGATTTTTCGAACATTGCAGCTGTTAAGTATGATGTTGGTTTGGCAACTGAAGACATTGCTCCACAAACTGTCTATGGAACCCTTACTGAGATGAACTCGGCAGATAATCCAAACAGCAATTTCAATGTTACCTGGGAGTTCACAGTGGATCCAGGATTCCAATACCTTGTTCGATTTCACTTTTGCGATATAGTAAGTAAATCTCTCAATCAGCTGTACTTCAATGTTTATGTTGACTCTGCCAATGTTGCTCCAGATCTTGATCTGAGTACTGCGACAATTAATAAGTTGGCTGTGCCATATTATCTGGACACTGTTACAGCGTCCATTGTCAGAAATAAGCTGCGTATTAGTATTGGCCCTTCTGCTGTAAACAATGCTTATCCCAATGCCATTCTAAATGGGCTCGAGATTATGAAAATGAACAACTCAGCAGGTAGCCTCAGTGGAACAAACGCAGTTTCTTCTTTGAATTCAAGTTCGAAAAGTAACGTTGGAGTAATTGTGGGTGCCAGCGTTGGGTCATTTGTTGCAGTGGCATTGGCTGGGGTTCTCTTTGTTCTGTGCAGAAGAAGGAAGAGACTGGCAGACCAAGGCCATTCAAAGACTTGGAGTCCCTTTTCCATGAATGGAACCAATTCTCACACCATGGGAAGTAAATACTCATATGGGACAACTGCTAGTGCTGCTTCTAACTATAGCTATCGTTTTCCTTTTGGGGTGGTGCAGGAGGCTACGAATAACTTTGATGAGAGCTGGGTTATTGGAATCGGTGGTTTTGGGAAGGTATACAAAGGAACCTTGAATGATGGAACCAAAGTGGCTGTCAAGAGGGGAAATCCACGGTCTCAACAGGGACTTGCAGAGTTCAGGACTGAAATTGAGATGCTATCTCAGTTCCGTCACCGCCATCTTGTCTCATTGATTGGGTATTGTGATGACAAGAATGAGATGATTCTGATATATGAATATATGGAGAACGGAACCCTGAAGGGTCATCTCTATGGCTCAGGTCACCCCAGCTTAAGTTGGAAACAAAGGCTTGAAATATGCATTGGATCTGCTAGAGGACTTCACTACCTTCACACTGGTTATGCAAAAGCAGTTATTCATCGTGATGTGAAATCCGCAAACATCTTGCTTGATGAGAACCTCATGGCCAAGGTTGCTGATTTTGGGCTTTCTAAGACGGGGCCTGAAATCGATCAAACCCATGTCAGTACGGCAGTTAAAGGAAGTTTTGGATACCTTGATCCTGAATATTTTAGAAGGCAACAACTGACAGAGAAATCAGATGTGTATTCATTTGGGGTGGTTTTGTTTGAGGTTCTTTGTGCAAGACCTGTTATAGATCCGTCTCTTCCGAGGGAAATGGTGAACTTGGCTGAATGGGCAATGAAATGGCAGAAGAAGGGGCAGTTGGAGCAAATCATAGATTCAACTCTTGCAGGCAAAATCAGACCAGATTCTCTGAGGAAATTTGGAGAAACCGCCGAGAAATGCTTGGCTGACTATGGCGTTGACAGGCCCTCCATGGGAGATGTGTTGTGGAATCTAGAGTATGCCCTTCAACTTCAAGAGGCAGAAATCCAGGCGACGCTGAAGAAAATAGTACCAATATGATTGGTGAGCTATCCCCACAAGTCAACAACTACAGTAACGTCGATACAAATGACTCTGCTGTGCAATTTGAAGTCTCGAGTGTGGATGATCTTTCAGGTGTTTCTATGAGTAAAGTGTTCTCACAGCTGGTGAAGTCCGAGGGTAGGTAACTGTTCCGAGATAGTATGTGCTATGGGTTTAGCATCTCCTTTGATTGCACTTCTTTTGTGGTAGTTTGCTGATTAAACTTGATGAAGCATTCTGAGTTCTCCTTTTGTACAGAAAGGGTCCGCGGTTTGAGTGTGTTTAAGATTCATAAGGGTTTTATGTAACTTGTTTATTTCTTATTCATATTGCACACCGTATGAAGCAAAAGTTCTGGTGGGAGATGGCTCTGTAGACCTTTCTCCTCACAGCCATCCATCGCGCGTGGTTCGTATGATCGGTGATTGTGAGAGGAAGGCTTATGCGTATCCCGCTTCAGACTTTTACCATGTGAAAGCCGGTAAAGTTTTCATTTTCGTACTCTTCCTTCTGCGGGTGTTTTGGTTTTTTGTTTAGTGATTTTGTGCATGATGGATTGTTTGTCGTTGTTTGGTTCTTAAACAGAAGAAAATAGTGCAAGAGAAACAGTTTCAGATGGTTCTCTGATAGGATAAGAGAATCAACATAACGGAAAGGGAAATTACGGGAAATTAGAAAAAATTAAAGCAGATTCATCATTTCATTCATAACCTTGCAACAATGCGTACAACACATATATGGAAGGCATTTTACCTAAAATGGTATTTGAGATTGACATAATTTCGCACTTTAGTCTCTAAGATGTGAAATCATTAGAAATTCACTGCCAATCATTTTACTTATATGAAAATCTCTGTTAAATAGGGCTCCAAATGACAAAAATAGCCTCATTGTAATAAATCATGGGCTAATCATTTGACAAAAATTTAGGGTATTTTTGTTGTTTTGTTCTTATTTAACAATGATTTCTTACGGAAGGGTCAAAATGATTGATGGTGAACAAACTCAAAGATTAATTCTATCGATTTTAAATTTTAAGAATTAAAGTGTGGAGTAATGTCAAACTCATACACTATTTCGGCCAAAATTTTTATATGGGTCAGACTATCTTGGATGCTTTTAGAAGCCCAACAGCCCATGGCAGCAGTAATTGGGCCCAAGAGAAGCCCATGATACCAAGTGATCCTAACATTCTCTCAAACTCCCTACTAATTGGATGTGGTTTATAGAGTTTGACATAGAAACAAAAGTGATCAAAACTGTAATTTCATCCCATTAGTTTCTTATATTTTCTATATATAACCAAACATTAAGAAAATAAAAGACTTTCCATTTTCTCTTTTATTTTTCCATATCTAAAGTGAATATCGTATCAGTTGGACAAAAATAACAATATTGTTAATAGGAAATAACGAACAAGATTAAACAAGGGTGTGCGAGATGAGAAAAATGGTGTGCTTTTGTCATTTTTCTTGTTAGTAAGGCAAGTCTTGTAGCTTAAATGATTAAGATCTTTCACTTTTAACTCGATTCTCTTTATCGGTTCCCAAACATTTCTTTTTGTTTAAACGGGGGACCATCTAATGACTGCCACTGTAGTCCACTCTTTCGGAGGCCTGAAAAGACTCACAATGGCATTTCAACTTCTTCTTGCCCACCATTGTGTGCTTCACGAGCACCATGAATTGAAACCAGGATGTGCTGCATAGAATATGAGTTTGAAATTCATCCCTAACTACTGGGGCAATCCGTGCCGCTACTGTCAATATGTACTCTGGATGTGCAGTTAGTATATCGTCGACAAAGGGTCAATAATCCATCACTTGTTACGCCACAAAATTCAGATTTGGAGTGGTTTGTGTACACCACGTTGTAAAACTCTGCATTGGATATGAATCATCAAGAAAAAAGGAAAAACCGAAGAGAAACAACATCCCACGCCCGAAAATTTTCATCTAAACAAACATCATTCGGATGAAATCCAGCAGCATTTGCGGGATAACAAGGCGCTTCTTCATGTGCGGGTTCTATAACCTATTGATTCTCGTTGTCAGTTCTTCCAGCCAAGAGAGAGGATACAGCATCCTACCCAAAAGTTTGTTTTCGATTCAAGAAAGTTATAAACAAAAAGAGTTGTCCGGCTCCTCATAAATGATGTTAAGATCGGCTAGCTCATCCTCGGAATCCGAAAATAAAACAGAGACAAAAAGGATTGTTTCAATGACACATCTAATCATAATCAATAGGATTTGAAGAGCTGTCATGGTTAATCACATCAAATTCAGCAGGCAGGAAGGGCACGGAAGCTACCGTATTGAGAATGCAAGCAAGGTAGCTTGCTTGCTCTCCTGGTAGCGTACGTTGGTGGCAAGGAAGGAGGCACAGGGACCATATTAAAGTAAAGAGGCATTCGGGAAGCAACTAGGTTCAGCTGAAAATTACAATCCCCCGTGTCTCAACCGAATTAATGAGAATCATATATTTCATAATCCATGGCTGGGGACTGCAAGTAACCATACTCAAATCGATCAGCATGTCTCCATTTTCATCCGCAAACAATATGATCTTCCATATCAGAGACTTCGTCATCATATATCACACTAAATTTTTTGTAACTTTCTGAGCCCCTATTTCCACCTGAACGTGGAAATGGATGCTCCTGCAAAAGACATTGACATCAACGGTACACACGTGAAGTGTCTCCTAAGCCCAAAGCTACTCATGCTTCACTTCGTGCAAAAGGATCACAACATACTATGTTTACAATATTATTAAACACACACAAAACACGTACCTTCACATAAGCGTCCAAGACATCTTCTAGCAACACTGTTTGCTGAATTTCATTCCCTGCTAAACAGTTGGCGTTGAGAAATCTAGCACACCCTTAAAGTCTTCCATCAAGATGAGTAATTAATTATTCAGATCGGGCAAGCCTTGGCACAAAGGAAAGGTTGCTCCTTTGTGACCGAAATGTCACGGATTCAAGTTGAGGAAAGAGTCTCTTTGCAACTCAAGGGTAAGGCTGCATACAATAGACGTACTCACCCCCCACGACCCTCGCAAAGTGGGAGCGTTGTTGGCTTGAGTCACCCTTTTATTCTTTCTATCAATGGTAACAAAGCAGGATCTACTTTATCTTTAGACAACAAATCAATTATCAATTCCGTAGTTGACGCATCTGCAGAAAAACCCTTCCCCACCATTTGTTGAATAAGTCCCATGGCTTCTGATGGCTCATTGTTATTGAAAAAGCCTCGGATGATTATGTTATAGGTCCAACCATTTGGAGAACAACCTTTCTCTTCCATTTCTTTAAGTAATTTTACCGCTTCGTTTGTTAGCCCTCCGTTGCAAAATCCACTAATCATTATGTTATACGTCCTGGTATTAGGTTGAAGACCTCTTGATGATAAACTGCGAAAGAGATCCCTTGCAGAGTCAACTTTCCCACCAATGCACAATCCTCCAATTAGAATAGCGTAAATCACAATATTTGGCTTTAACTTCTTACTTTCCATATCTCTTAACAATTGTATTGCCTCGGGAAATTGTTGGTTTTTACACAGGCCACCCAATAAAACAGCATAGGCTTGAACATTTGGAAAATGGCCACAAGCTTGCATCTGAGAGAACAACTTTTGTGCATCTTGTGTTCTCCCTACTTTGCAAAAACCGTCCATGAGAGTGGTGTAAGTAACGACATTCAGAATGACTCTGCTACTAGAAATTTCCTCAAAAAGCAACACCGCCTCATCTATCCTTTTATGCTTACAATAGCCGTTTATCAGTATGTTGTAACTATAGGCATCAACTGTGTAGCCCTTTCTGAGCATTAGTTCCAAAACCTTTTTTGCCTCACGCATTTCTCCTCGCAAGCAATAACCATCCATAAGAGAATTATAAGTAACAGTGTTAGGCTCAATATCTCTTTGCGTCATCATTTCGACCATGCTTTTTGCTTTCCCGACCAAGCCCTCCTTACAAAGGGTGTCTATCAATACACTGAAGGTTTGCAGATTTGGAAAAATACCTTTGCTCACCATTTCATTAAACAATCTCGCAGCTTCTTTCCACTCCCCTAATTTGCATACTCCATGAATCAAAGAAGTATAGGTAATGATGTCGGGTTCAATACATTTACTCATCATTTCAGAGAAAAGGTTCATCGCATCAACCACCATAGTATCCTTACAAAGACTGTCGATGATCGTGCTGTAAATAACAATGCCAGGCTTGCAACCTCCTTCTTCCATTTTCCTAAGTAGTTGAATAGCTTCAGTGTTGTTACCTTTCATGCAAAGGCCCTTTACTAGTGTGCCGAAAGTAACCACATCTGGCTTACAATCACCACTCTCCATCTTATTCAGAATCCCGACAGCATCAGCCTCTCTATCCTGAAGAAGGAATCCATTGATTAGAGTGGAGAAGGTCGCCACAGTCGGTTCAAAACCAAGTTTGAAGAATTTTCCCAACAAAGATAAACCAAATTCCATTTGGTTGAGATGGGAAAAGCAATTAATGATGATGCTTAGAGTATAAACATCAGGACGAATTCCGGACAGCTCCATTTGGTCATTCAGCGAGATGACTGCCGAATAATGTTTCAACTTGGCGACTTGAGTCAAGACTTGATTGAAACGGACGACGGAAGGCAGAGGACGCATTTGAAGCATTTCGTCGAACACATGGAGTGCATCCTCAAGATTAGTTACTTTGACAAGCTGACGCAATTGGGTGTTTGTAGATTTGGTTGGATAAGAAGGTCGAGAGTGAAACGGAGCCAAGTAAACGTTGAAGAATAGAAGGAGAGTAGATTTATGAAGAAAACAAGGCACAGGCGACATACCTCTGAGTCTGCTGGCGATGCCATAACCAACCTTCAATGAAGAAGAAATTGTCGTCGCCCGCATCATCTTCAACGTCTGCCGGTTAATCAGTAGGAAGATGACGAATTGGTTGTGCGTATCGGACTCTTTTTCCCGATGAGGTTTGGGGTTGGTTTGGGTAAATTTTCATAAATAAATGATGATATGCATTTTCAACGAAAACAATTTTTTGTTCTTCTTGACAATTTAGTAAAATCAACGACCGGACTTAAGAGTCCGTTTGGTAGGTTGAGTGAAATAGGGACTTAAAAAATCTATTGGATACTGGTAAGATAGAATTTGAACTCATGTATAAAGATAGATTAGATAACTCATTTTATTGTGAAATCCTAATCTATTATAACTCATGTATAAGCATTGATTAGATAATTCATTTTATTGTGAAATCCTAATCCATTATGTCTTTCATAATTTAACACAATAATATAATATATTTAAATATATTTTAATTGATTACAACCTATTCCAACCAATCAATAAACAAGTTTTATTGCTAATGTGTGACCTTTTCTTATTTTTTGAAGAAGATGATGTGTGACCCTTTCTTAACTTTTCTTAAAAGTCACGTTTTAAGGGAAATATAGGATCAATATATCGTTAAGATTTTCCTAACAAAAGCAATGTTTCAATTTGTGATTGAGATGCATGCCACATGGTTAATATCTACGCTTGATATGCCATTAATACATCAGGAGAATCCTTTTCGGATCTTTTTTATGAGGATCTTGAGAATTCTCAAATCATGTCCGTTCATTGTATATTGTGCGGTCAATTTTCGTCAGGTATTATTTATATTTAATTTAAGATAAAAGTATTTAAAATGATTTCTAATCTCATGATGTACGATGAACAGACAAGATTTAAGAATCTCCAAGATCTTCACAAAGAGGATCCAGAAAGGATCTTCATTCGTTAATATATAGTCGTCAAAGGATCAACGAATGCAAGTCTAAAACTTCAAAGTAGTCAGAAGAGTGTATTAAACCCATCCAGTATTGTAGGGTTAGCAACTTGAGAGGCTCAAGCTGTAATAAGCACGGTTACAATTGGTGGGCTACAGGCACAGACACATGTCACTCTAACTTAGAAGTCCAAAGCACCATTCGGCATTCGAAAATATTGTACAACCAGAAAGCTTGTGGATTATAACTCATGACATTCAAACATGAGCTTTGCGTCCTTCAAAAGAATTGTCAAAAAGGCGATTTGAAAATCATCTGAGGGTGGCTCTGAACTCCGACTTAAGTACGACTATTTCTATTCCTGACCAGCATACTAACCCAAGTATGTTGTAAAACACTTATGCCACAAAATTCAGATTTGGAGTGGTTTAAACTCTGCATTGGATTTCAAAACATCAAGCAAAAAGAAAAACATAACAGAAACAACACATCACGTCCGAATTTTTTCATCTAAACAAACATCAGTCGGATGAAATCTAGCAGCATTTTCGGGATAACGAGGCGATTCTTCGTGTGCGGGTTCCATAAATTCTTGATCTCGTTGTCAAGTCTTCCGGCCAATAGAGAGGATACAATATCCCACCCAAAAGTTAGTTTTCGATATAAGAAAGTTATAATTAAAGAGAGTAAAAGATCTGTGGAAGGAATAGAGAGATAGAATGACCACAAAACTCAGTTATCTGGCAAACCCATTCAAGCTATGAGATACAAAACTATTACAAAAAAGAAAATGAAAAAGAAAAAGAAGAAAAGAAAAGAAAAAGGTTGTTCCTCTAGGAACAGCCTTTGTCGTACAGCTCCTCATAAATGATGTTAGGATCGGCCGGCTTATCTCTAGAAAAATAGAGATAAAATAGATTGTTTCGGTGACAAATCTAATCAGACTGAATAGGATTTAAAGAGCTTTTATGATCATTTACTTTAGTTTCACCAGGCAGGAACGACACGAAAACATGATAGGCGTATTTCAAATGAAGGATACTTGTACCCATTGAGTCAAAGTCGTATCCGTTCACCATGATATGTATCCGATCAGTATCCAAGAGTACCTGACAAGTATCATTTCCGACAAAGTATCTGATACGGCCGTGCATTAGTTAATTCTGGAAAAACAAAGGCTACTATGGTAATTAGCGAAAATTCTATACGCAGTTCAGCAAAACTTCACAAAATTTATCACTCAATTGTTCAGTCGCACCACCAAAACAAGCAAACCCAATTTCAATGTTCACTCAATTGTTCAGTTGACCCATGTTTTGATTGAAAAGGACAACGGAAGGCAGCTGATGCGTTTGAAGCATTTCGTCGAATTCGCTGAAGGCATCCACAAGATTTGTGACTTTCACAAGCTGATGCAATTGGGTGTTTGTAGATCTGGACGATGTCGTATGTACTAAAAATACAAAAACTTCATTGTGCTGGGAAGCAATAATGAAAGAAACATCCATTCATATCAGCTTTCTAGACCAGACATCATCTCGGCCGACATTGCTTGCTTTATTTCATCCCTTGCAAAGCAATTGTTATCGTTGTTCTAAAAATCTCTACCTAGGTCCTGCTTAGATCTTAGGCGGTTGATCACCGTTCCAATTAATACATAGACGTTTGAAAATTAACAAAGGGCTCCTAGACCTGCTGGCGCCCGCCTAGCTAGGCCAAACTTGCCTAGGCATGCGTTTAAGTCGTGACTCATTTTGATAAAAAATAGATAACTTTAATTTTGTATTTTATTTTTTAAAATAAATTGTAAGAGACTTGTTGAATACTTAAATGAACACATATTATATGTTTGTTTCTCATGTTTTCATTATGTTTCAATACTTCATAATATATCTGTCATTCTATTTTATAGTTTATGACGAAGTTATATACATTCAAGTATAAACAGAAATTTATTTATACAAAATATAATAGATTTATTTAAATCCGTGTAGTCCACTTAGGCTCTGCCTAGGCGCTAGGCATTAGCTTGTCGTCCAACTAGCGCCTAACGTTTTTTTAGAACCTTCGTTGTTATTGAGAAAATAAGCAACATACTTATACTTGACGGAAGTGCTCGTTTTTGCCATTTTGACGAATATCATAATCCATGGCTGGCGAATGCTGCAAGTAACCAAAACTCAAATCGATCCGCAAGTTCTCCATTTTCATCCGCAAACGATATGATCTTTCATATCATGGACATCGTCATCATATATCACACTAAAATCTTTATAATTTTCTGAGTCCCTATTTCCACGAGAACTTAGAAATGGATGCTCCTACAAAATATCATATTGACATCAACGGTACACATGTTAAGTGTCTCCTGAGCCCAATGCTATTCATGTTTCACTTCGTGCAAAGGGATCATAACAAACTTTTTAACAGTATTATTAATCTCACACAAAACATGTACCTTCACTTCAGCGTCCAAGACAAGACATCGTCTCCTGGCAACATTGTTTGCTGAATTTCATCCCCTGCAAAACAGTTGGTATCGAGAAAACTAGCAACACCCTTAAAGTCTTCCATCAAGATGACAAATTAATTATTCAGAAGATGTTTGAATGTAAAAACCAGTCTTATTCTTGCTATGCACCTAAGGTGAGCCTTGGCATAACGGAAAGGGTTGCTCTTTTTTAGGTTACAAGCTTGAGTCGTGTAAACCACCTCTTTACAAAACAAAAGTCTGTGTACTATAGACATTTTCACCCCGGGCAAAGCAGGGAGCCTTTTAGCTTGAGGTCACCCTTTAATTCTCGATATGCACCTCCACTAACATGAGTGTAATTTAAAAAAAAAAAAAAAAAAAAAACCAAAGGGCAGGTGGTCTGTCATTTTCTTAAGCTATAATGTATGCATAGTATTATAATGCATTTATGGGATTGAAAGGTGCTACACTTTCAAAATTAACAATAATCATTAGAAGGATCTGTTTCAACTTTACAAGGTAGAAATTAACTTCGTTACGATCTTTCTATCAATGGCAACAAAGCAGGATCTACTTTATCTTTAGACAACAAATCAATTATCAATTCCGTGGTCGACGCATCTGCAGAAAAACCCTTCCCCACCATTTGTTGAATAAGTCCCATGGCTTCTGATGGCTCATTGTTATTGAAAAAGCCTCGGATGATTATGTTATAGGTCCAACCATTTGGAGAACAACCTTTCGCGTCCATTTCTTTAAGTAATTTTACCGCTTCGTTTGTTAGCCCTCCGTTGCAAAATCCATCAATCATTTTGTTATATGTCCTGGTATTGGGTTGAAGACCTCTTGATGATAAACTGCGAAAGAGATCCCTTGCAGTTTCAACTTTCCCACCAATGCACAATCCTCCAATTAGAATAGCGTAAATCACAATATTTGGCTTTAACTTCTTACTTTCCATATCTCTTAACAATTGTATTGCCTCGGGAAATTGTTGGTTTTTACACAGGCCACCCAATAAAACAGCATAGGTTTGAACATTTGGAAAATGGCCGCAAGCTTGCATCTGAGAGAACAACTTTTGTGCATCTTGTGTTCTCCCTACTTTGCAAAAACCGTCCATGAGAGTGGTGTAAGTAACGACATTCAGAATGACTCCGCTACTAGAAATTTCCTCAAAAAGCAACACCGCCTCATCTATCCTTTTATGCTTACAATAGCCATTTATCAATATGCTGTAACTATAAGCATCAACAATGGATCCCTTGCTAAGCATTAGTTCCAAAACCTTTTTTGCCTCGTCCATTTCCCCTCGCAAGCAATAACCATCCATGAGCGAATTATAAGTAACTGTGTCAGGCTCAATACCTCTTTGAGTCATCAATTCAACAATGCTTTTTGCTTCCCCAACCGAGCCCTCTTTACAATGGGTGTCTACCAAGACATTGAAGGTGTGCAAATTTGGTAACATACCTTTGCTCACCATTTCATTAAACAATCTTGTAGCTTCTTTTGACCCCCATAATTTGCCTACTCCATGAATCAAAGAAGTATATGTAATGACATCGGGGTTAATACCTTTACTCATCATTTCAGAGAAGAGGTTCATCGCATCATCAACCATAGTATCCTTACAAAGACTGTCGATGATCGTGTTGTAGACAACTAGATTAGGCTTGCAAACTGCTTCTTCCATCCTCTTAAGCAATTGGATAGCTCCAGTATTGTTACCCTTCATGCAAAGGCCCTTTACTAGTGTGCCGAAAGTAACCACATCTGGCTTACAATCACCACTCTCCATCTTATTCAGAATCCCGACAGCATCAGCCTCTCTATCCTGAAGAAGGAATCCATTGATTAGAGTGGAGAAGGTCGCCACAGTCGGTTCAAAACCAAGTTTGAAGAATTTTCCCAACAAAGATAAACCAAATTCCATTTGGTTGAGATGGGAAAAGCAATTAATGATGATGCTTAGAGTATAAACATCAGGACGAATTCCGGACAGCTCCATTTGGTCATTCAGCGAGATGACTGCCGAATAATGTTTCAACTTGGCGACTTGAGTCAAGACTTGATTGAAACGGACGACGGAAGGCAGAGGACGCATTTGAAGCATTTCGTCGAACACATGGAGTGCATCCTCAAGATTAGTTACTTTGACAAACTGACGCAATTGGGTGTTTGTAGATTTGGTTGGATAAGAAGGTCGAGAGTGAAACGGAGCCAAGTAAACGTTGAAGAATAGAAGGAGAGTAGATTTATGAAGAAAACAAGGCACAGGCGACATACCTCTGAGTCTGCTGGCGATGCCATAACCAACATTCAATGAAGAAGAAATTGTCGTCGCCCGCATCATCTTCAACGTCTGCCGGTTCATCAGTAGGAAGATGACGAATTGGTTGTGCGTATCGGACTCTTTTTCCCGATGAGGTTTGGGGTTGGTTTGGGCAAATTTTCATAAATAAATGATGATATGCATTTTCAACGTAAACAATTTTTTGTTCTTCTTGACAATTTAGTAAAATCAACAACCGGACTTAAGAGTCCGTTTGGTAGGTTGAGTGAAATAGGGACTTAAAAAATCTATTGGATTGACAGATACTAGTAAGATAGAATTTGTAACTCATGTATAAGGATAGATTAGATAAGTCATTTTATTATGAAATCTTAATCCATTATGTCTTTCATAATTTAACACAATAATGTAGTATACTTAAATATATTTTAATTGATTACAACCTATCTCAACCAATCAATAAACAAGTTTTATTGCTAATGTGTGACCTTTTCTTATTTTTTGAAGAAGATGATGGGTGACCTTTTCTTAACTTTTCTTCAAAGTCACGTTTTAAGGGAAATATAGGATCAATATATCGTTAAGATTTTCCTAACAAAAGCAATGTTTCAATTTGTGACTGAGATGCACGCCACATGGTTAATATCTACGCTTGATATGCCATTAATACATCAGGAGAATCCTCTTCGGATTTTTTTATGAGGATCTTGAGAATTCTCAAATTATATCGGTTTATTGTATATTATACGGTCAATTTTCGTCAGATATTATTTATATTTAATTTAAAATAAAAGTATTTAAAATGATTTCTAGTCTCATGATGTACAATGAACGGACAAGATTTAAGAATCTCCAGGATCTTCACAAAGAGGATCTAGAAAGGATCCTCATTCGTTGATATATAGTTGTCAAAGGATCAACGAATGCAAGTCTAAAACTTCAAAGTAGTCAGAAGAGTGTGTTAAACCCATCCAGTATTGTAGGGTTAGCAACTTGAGAGGCTCAAGCCGTAATAAGCACGGTTACAATTGGTGGGCTACGGGCACAGGCACATGTCACTCTAACTTAGAAGTCCGAAGCACCATTAGGCATTCAAAAATATTGTACAACCAGAAAGCTTGTGGATTATAACTTATGACATTCAAACATGGGCTTTGCGTCATTGAAGAGAATTGTCAAAAAGGCGATTTGGAAATCATCTGAGGATGGCTTTGAACTCCGACTTAAGTACGACTATTTCTATTCCGGACCAGCATACTAACCTAAGTATGTTCTACAACACTTATGCCACAAAATTCAGATTTGGAGTGGTTTAAACTCTGCATTGGATTTCAAAACATCAAGCAAAAAGAAAAACATAACAGAAACAACACATCACGTCCGAATTTTTTCATCTAAACAAACATCAGTCGGATGAAATCTAGCAGCATTTTCGGGATAACGAGGCGATTCTTCGTGTGCGGGTTCCATAAATTCTTGATCTCGTTGTCAAGTCTTCCGGCCAATAGAGAGGATACAATATCCCACCCAAAAGTTAGTTTTCGATATAAGAAAGTTATAATTAAAGAGAGTAAAAGATCTGTGCAAGGAATAGAGAGACAGAATGACCACAAAACTCAGTTATCTGGCAAACCCATTCAAGCTATGAGAAACAAAACTATTACAAAAAAGAAAATGAAAAAGAAAAAGAAGAAAAGAAAAGAAAAAGGTTGTTCCTCTAGGAACAGCCTTTGTCGTACAGCTCCTCATAAATGATGTTAGGATCGGCCGGCTTATCCCTAGAAAAATAGAGATAAAATAGATTGTTTCAGTGACAAATCTAATTAGACTGAATAGGATTTAAAGAGCTTTTATGATCATTTACATTAGTTTCACCAGGCAGGAACGGCACGAAAACATGATAGGCGTATTTCAAATGAAGGATACTTGTACCCATTGAGTCAAAGTCGTATCCGTTCACCATGATATGTATCCGATCAGTATCCAAGAGTACCTGACAAGTATCATTTCCGACAAAGTATCAGATACGGCCGTGCATTAGTTAATTCTGGAAAAACAAAGGCTACTATGGTAATTAGCGAAAATTCTATACGCAGTTCAGCAAAACTTCACAAAATTTATCACTCAATTGTTCAGTCGCACCACCAAAACAAGCAAACCCAATTTCAATGTTCACTCAATTGTTCAGTTGACCCATGTTTTGATTGAAAAGGACAACGGAAGGCAGCTGATGCGTTTGAAGCATTTCGTCGAATTCGCTGAAAGCATCCACAAGATTTGTGACTTTCACAAGCTGATGCAATTGGGTGTTTGTAGATCTGGAGGATGTCGTATGTACTAAAAATACAAAAACTTCATTGTGCTGGGAAGCAATAATGAAAGAAACATCCATTCATATCAGCTTTCTAGACCAGACATCGTCTCGGCCGACATTGCTTGCTTTATTTCATCCCTTGCAAAGCAATTGTTATCGTTGTTCTAAAAATCTCTGCCTAGGTCCTGCCTAGATCTTAGACGGCTGATCACCGTTCCAATTAATACATAGACGTTTGAAAATTAACAAAGGGTTCCTAGACCTGCTGGCGCCCGCCTAGCTAGGCCAAACTTGCCTAGGCATGCGTTTAAGTCGTGACTCATTTTGATAAAAAATAGATAACTTTAATTTTGTATTTTATTTTTTAAAATAAATTGTAAGAGACTTGTTGAATACTTAAATGAACACATATCATATGCTTGTTTCTCATGTTTTCATTATGTTTCAATATTTCATAATATATATGTCATTCTATTTTATAGTTTATGACGAAGTTATATACATTCAAGTATAAACAAAAATTTATTTATACAAAATATAATAGATTTATTTAAATCCGTGTAGTCCGCCTAGGCTCTGCCTAGGCGCTAGGCATTAGCTTGTCGTCCAACTAGCGCCTAACGTTTTTTTAGAACATTCGTTGTTATTGAGAAAATAAGCAACATACTTGGCAGAAGTGCTCGTTTTTGCCATTTTGACGAATATCATAATCCATGGCTGGCGAATGCTGCAAGTAACCAAAACTCAAATCGATCCGCAAGTTCTCCATTTTCATCCGCAAACGATATGATCTTTCATATCATGGACATCGTCATCATATATCACACTAAAATCTTTATAATTTTCTGAGTCTCTTTTTCCACGAGAACTTAGAAATGGATGCTCCTGCAAAATATCATATTGACATCAACGGTACACATGTTAGGTGTCTCCTGAGCCCAATGCTATTCATGTTTCACTTCGTGCAAAGGCATCATAACATACTTTTTAACAGTATTATTAATCTCACACAAAACATGTACCTTCACTTCAGCGTCCAAGACAAGACATCGTCTCCTGGCAACATTGTTTGCTGAATTTCATCCCCTGCAAAACAGTTGGTATCGAGAAAACTAGCAACACCATTAAAGTCTTCCATCAAGATGACAAATTAATTATTCAGAAGATGTTTGAATGTAAAAACCAGTCTTATTCTCGCTATGCACCTAAGGCGAGCCTTGGCATAACGGAAAGGGTTGCTCTATTTTAGGTTATAAGCTTGAGTCGTGTAAACCACCTCTTTGCAAAACAAAAGTCTGTGTGCTATAGACATTTTCACCCCCGGGCAAAGCAGGGAGCCTTTTAGCTTGAGGTCACCCTTTAATTCTCGATATGCACCTCCACTAACATGAGTGTAATTTAAAAAAAAAAAAAAAAAAAAAAAAAAAAAAACCAAAGGGCAGGTGGTCTGTCATTTTCTTAAGCTATAATGTATGCATAGTATTATAATGCATTTATGGGATTGAAAGGTGCTACACTTTCAAAATTAACAATAATCATTAGAAGGATCTGTTTCAACTTTACAAGATAGAAATTAACTTCGTTACGATCTTTCTATCAATGGCAACAAAGCAGGATCTACTTTATCTTTAGACAACAAATCAATTATCAATTCCGTGGTCAACGCATCTGCAGAAAAACCCTTCCCCACCATTTGTTGAATAAGTCCCATGGCTTCTGATGGCTCATTGTTATTGAAAAAGCCTCGGATGATTATGTTATAGGTCCAACCATTTGGAGAACAACCTTCTCGTCCATTTCTTTAAGTAATTTACCGCTTCGTTTGTTAGCCCTCCGTTGCAAAATCCATCAATCATTTTGTTATATGTCCTGGTATTGGGTTGAAGACCTCTTGATGATAAACTGCGAAAGAGATCCCTTGCAGTTTCAACTTTCCCACCAATGCACAATCCTCCAATTAGAATAGCGTAAATCACAATATTTGGCTTTAACTTCTTACTTTCCATATCTCTTAACAATTGTATTGCCTCGGGAAATTGTTGGTTTTTACACAGGCCACCCAATAAAACAGCATAGGTTTGAACATTTGGAAAATGGCCGCAAGCTTGCATCTGAGAGAACAACTTTTGTGCATCTTGTGTTCTCCCTACTTTGCAAAAACCGTCCATGAGAGTGGTGTAAGTAACGACATTCAGAATGACTCCGCTACTAGAAATTTCCTCAAAAAGCAACACCGCCTCATCTATCCTTTTATGCTTACAATAGCCATTTATCAATATGCTGTAACTATAAGCATCAACAATGGATCCCTTGCTAAGCATTAGTTCCAAAACCTTTTTTGCCTCGTTCATTTCCCCTCGCAAGCAATAACCATCCATGAGCGAATTATAAGTAACTGTGTCAGGCTCAATACCTCTTTGAGTCATCAATTCAACAATGCTTTTTGCTTCCCCAACCGAGCCCTCTTTACAATGGGTGTCTACCAAGACATTGAAGGTGTGCAAATTTGGTAATATACCTTTGCTCACCATTTCATTAAACAATCTTGTAGCTTCTTTCGACCCCCATAATTTGCATACTCCATGAATCAAAGAAGTATATGTAATGACATCGGGGTTAATACCTTTACTCATCATTTCAGAGAAGAGGTTCATCGCATCATCAACCATAGTATCCTTACAAAGACTGTCGATGATCGTGTTGTAGACAACTAGATTAGGCTTGCAAACTGCTTCTTCCATCCTCTTAAGCAATTGGATAGCTCCAGTATTGTTACCTTTCATGCAAAGGCCCTTTACTAGTGTGCCGCAAGTAACCACATCTGGCTTACAATCACCACTCTCCATCTTATTCAGAATCCCGACAGCATCAGCCTCTCTATCCTGAAGAAGGAATCCATTGATTAGAGTGGAGAAGGTCGCCACAGTCGGTTCAAAACCAAGTTTGAAGAATTTTCCCAAGACAGATAAACCAAATTCCATTTGGTTGAGATGGGAAAAGCAATTAATGATGATGCTTA